GAAAAAATTAGAAATTTTTCAAAAAATTTTTTCCAATTTTTTGCTTTCCAATGTTCGCGTCTTCTAACCAAACGTGATTTTTCTACTTTATTCTACTCCCTGAAGTATAAGAAAAAATAGTGCACCACTTATTTTTAGTCAAGGAAAAAATTAGAAATTTTTCAAAAAATTTTTTCCAATTTTTTTCAGAAAAAATTGATTTTTCGCTATTCAAAGTTCGCGTCTTCTGACCAAACATGATTTTTCTACTTTATTCTACTCCCTGAAGTATATGAAAAAATAGTGCACCACTTATTTTTAGTCAAGGAAAAAATTAGAAATTTTTTAAAAAATTTTTTCCAATTTTTTTCAGAAAAAATTGATTTTTTGCTTTCCAATGTTCGCGTCTTCTAACCAAACGTGATTTTTCTACTTTATTCTACTCCCTGAAGTATAAGAAAAAATAGTGCACCACTTATTTTTAGTCAAGGAAAAAATTAGAAATTTTTCGAAAAATTTTTTCCAATTTCCTTCAGAAAAAATTGATTTTTTGCTTTCCAATGTTCGCGTCTTCTAACCAAATAAGATTTTTCTACTTTATTCTACTTCCAGAAGTATAGAAAAAAATAGTGCACCACTTATTTTTAGTCAAGGAAAAAATTAGAAATTTTTCAAAAAATTTTTTCCAATTTTTTTCAGAAAAAATTGATTTTTCGCTATTCAAAGTTCGCGTCTTCTGACCAAACATGATTTTTCTACTTTATTCTACTCCCTGAAGTATATGAAAAAATAGTGCACCACTTATTTTTAGTCAAGGAAAAAATTAGAAATTTATGAAAAAATTTTTTCCTTTTTTTTTTAGAAAAAATTGATTTTTTGCTTTCCAGTGTTCCGGGCTTCTAACCAAACATGATTTTTCTACTTTATTCTACTCCCTGAAGTATATGAAAAAATAGTGCACCACTTATTTTTAGTCAAGGAAAAAATTAGAAATTTTTCAAAAAATTTTTTCCAATTTTTTTCAGAAAAAATTGATTTTTCGCTATTCAAAGTTCGCGTCTTCTGACCAAACATGATTTTTCTACTTTATTCTACTCCCTGAAGTATATGAAAAAATAGTGCACCACTTATTTTTAGTCAAGGAAAAAATTAGAAATTTTTGAAAAAATTTTTTCCATTTTTTTTCAGAAAAAATTGATTTTTTGCTTTCCAGTGTTCGCGTCTTCTAACCAAACATGATTTTTCTACTTTATTCTACTCTCTGAAGTATATGAAAAAATAGTGCACCACTTATTTTTAGTCAAGGAAAAAATTAGAAATTTTTCGAAAAATTTTTTCCAATTTTTTTCAGAAAAAATTGATTTTTTGCTTTCCAATGTTCGCGTCTTCTAACCAAATAAGATTTTTCTACTTTATTCTACTTCCAGAAGTATAGAAAAAAATAGTGCACCACTTATTTTTAGTCAAGGAAAAAATTAGAAATTTTTCAAAAAATTTTTTCCAATTTTTTTCAGAAAAAATTGATTTTTTGCTTTCCAATGTTCGCGTCTTCTAACCAACCATGATTTTTCTACTTTATTCTACTCCCAAAAGTATAGAAAAAAATAGTGCACCACTTATTTTTAGTCAAGGAAAAAATTAGAAATTTTTGAAAAAATTTTTTCCAATTTTTTTCAGAAAAAATTGATTTTTTGCTCTCCAATGTTCGCGTCTTCTAACCAAACGTGATTTTTCTACTTTATTCTACTCCCTGAAGTATAAGAAAAAATAGTGCACCACTTATTTTTAGTCAAGGAAAAAATTAGAAATTTTTCGAAAAATTTTTTCCAATTTTTTTCAGAAAAAATTGATTTTTTGCTTTCCAATGTTCGCGTCTTCTAACCAACCATGATTTTTCTACTTTATTCTACTCCCAAAAGTATAGAAAAAAATAGTGCACCACTTATTTTTAGTCAAGGAAAAAATTAGAAATTTTTGAAAAAATTCTTTCCAATTTTTTTCAGAAAAAATTGATTTTTCGCTATTCAAAGTTCGCGTCTTCTGACCAAACCTGATTTTTCTACTTTATTCTACTCCCTGAAGAATAGGAAAAAATAGTGCACCACTTATTTTTAGTCAAGGAAAAAATTAGAAATTTTTGAAAAAATTTTTTCCATTTTTTTTCAGAAAAAATTTATTTTTTGCTTTCCAATGTTCGCGTCTTCTAACCAAACGTGATTTTTCTACTTTATCCTACTCCCTGAAGTATAAGAAAAAATAGTGCACCACTTATTTTTAGTCAAGGAAAAAATTAGAAATTTTTTCTATATTTTTAAACTTATTTTATCCTGAAAAAAATAGAATTATTTATTTATATTATTATAATATTAATATTTCTTTTAAACTACAATTATTTATTATTTATATAATAATATAATTATATAAATAATAATCATATATTATTTGTATTTGCTAATGATATTTAATTTTATTATTGAATATTAATTTAATTGTTTGCATTCCGTTAGAGCCAGTTGAGCGCCTGACGTTGGTTTTCTTTTGTTTTATTGCCAACACAAAATGTTTAAAAATTAACTGGTTGCTGATAACTGGGTGCCAGCTTCAGCTTCATTTTTTGGGGAGAAAAGATACGATTTTTTTCTTTTTTAAACAAAAGCTGATGTTTTTTACTAAATGGACATATAAATGAGAAAGTGGGCCTAGAATGTTTAAATACTGAAAAAAAGTTTTCTATTTACCGGAGCGCAAAACCGTGTCGCGCGGCAGTCCGCAGCGCTCCCGTCAGAAGAAAACTCCTATTTTTAGTGTTTAAACATTCTAGGTAAACTTTCTCATTTATATGTCCTTTTAGTAAAAAACCTCAGCTTTCGTTTAAAAAAAGAAAAAAATCATATCCTTCACCCCAAAAAGTCAAATTTATTTTTAATTTTGATTTTTTTAGGTCAATAAATTTTTTTTTTGAAAATGCTTACTGCCAATTGAAAGAGCATGAAAAAATCTATCGAAAATGTACCCTGACAAAGTTTGTTATCTAATTGTTTAAGAATAAAAAATTATCAAAATAAACATTGTACCGTAATACCCCAAACTCCCCCCCCTCCTTATCAGAAAATATTGGAATAATTAAAAAAATATTTTCATAAAAAATTACTATCTCTTAGTACTACAAAAGCCCTAAGATGCCGGTGTCCGTATGACCCCATCACGTCATCATCAAGGCCAACTCAAGGTCAAACAGTGATATAGTGGATATAGTGATAAAAGTTAATAACTGAATAATTAGAAGTAGTTTGATTGTTTAATTAAAAGGTAATAAAATTTAATTAAAGGCGAAAAATCGAATTAGAAGGATTTAATTAAGGTGATAATTAGTGAGTGACGATAAAAAAAGAGCATATATACACTACCGTCGGGAATTATCGGTACGGCTGCTCACGCACGGTCCAAAAACATACCAATCTTTAAATCACGATTTTTTTGTAAATACAATTGTCAGAAAATTAACAAATATACCATTCGAAAGATTATTAAATTCTACGATTAATGGTACATAACTGAAAATTTTAATAATTTATACAAAGATTGCAGCAATTGACAGACAAAAAAATTTTAAGAATACAATTTTTTTGGAAATATTTTCAACCCCTGCACATTTTTTAAAAATTGTAGAAAAAATTTGAAACTTACATAAGTGTGATCATTCAAGTCTCATCTTTCATTTAAGACCAAAAGAGTTTAAAAATCTTATTCGGTTCGTGAGATATCTTTATAAACGTCCGAGCATGTTTTTTGACAAATGCATTGAATTATTCGATTTTGAACGGTTTTTGGCTGAAAATGCTCGTCCCTTTATAACGATATCTCGCTAACCGATTGAGATTTTTGAATTCTTTTTGTCTTAAATTAAAGATGAGACTTGAATGATCACACATATATGTTTCAAATTTTTTCTGCAATTTTTAAAAAATGTGTAGGGGTTGAAAAAATTTCCAAAAAAATTGTATTTTTAAAATTTTTTTGTCAAATTTGTCAATTGCTGCAATCTTTGTATAAATTATTAAAATTTTCAGTTATGTACCATTAATCGTAGAATTTAATAATCTTTCGAATGGTATATTTGTTAATTTTATGACATTTGTATTTACAAAAAAATCGTGATTTAAAGATTGGTATGTTTTTGGGCCGTGCGCGTGCAGCCGTACCGATAATTCTCGACGGTAGTGTACGTTTAATATGCCCTACACCTTGTAAGGAAATAGAGAGTGAGGGGAAAAAAGGTTGTAAAAACTGATGATTATTGTCCAAGTACCATTGGTACAAAAGCAGGATCTTGTAACCGTTCCTACTTGTAGCAAATACCCGTTTCTTTGATCCTCGCATCTCTTTGATCTCGCGACACCCCCGGACGACCTACGGCTCCCAACCCTTCGCCGGCGCTTCACAAGTAACTCAACTTTTCCTCCCTCTCCCTGGGCCACACAAAGTGCTTGATGGTTTGGTGTAGGAAAAATTAAATATGTCGAATTAAGGTTTTTGACTTTGATTTGACCCTGACGTAATGGAGTCATATGGTCACCTGGATCGTAATCAGCGTTCCAAAAACATAAAAATAAATTTGTTTTAAAATCTATTCCAAGCTAACTTTTCGGACAAGAGAAGGAAATCTAGATTTGATCTTCTAGATGACCTCCAATTGACCTTGAAAGGTTGGTTCACAAAAATGGTCGAAACGTTTTCGGACGTAAAATTTTCCGCTTTTTTCGAATCCGGAGTCAAAAAATTAAATATTGCAAAATTAGGTGTTTGACCTTGAGTTGACTTTGATGCTGACGTGATAGGGTCATACGGACACAGGCATCGTAATCAGCGACCCCAAAAAAATAAAGGTCACCTATGGTTAGAGCATGTCCACCTTAATTTCCCTTTGTGGTCCTGTGTAATTTTTCTCTTTAATGAAGGAAAATATTTGTTAAATAATTCACTTTTAATCAATTCTAGAAATAAGAATTTATATGACTTACGGAATTTTTCGATTTCTATAGAATCGGTTAAAAATTCTTCTTCTTCTTCTCCTTCTCCTTCTCCTTTTCCACTTTCTTCTCCGTCTTTTTGACAAGTGTGACGGTTACCATTGTTTTCTAAAAAATGATTTAAAAACATATATTTATGTCCACCTTAATTTCCCTTTGTGGTCCTGTGTAATTTTTCTCTTTAACCCTTTAAGGCCCAGCGGTTTCGATTGAAACCACTTTTGTGTTCGAACATTCATAACTTTGTCAAAAATTAATCAATTTTTCAGTTCAAAACGCCAAAGATCCACAAATTTATATTACTTGTAAAAAAAAATATAGTGCAATAAATTTACAACAATCTTATAATTATAACTATATTGAAAAAAAATGTTTTTGCTAAGGGTTGTTAAAAAAATTAAAAATTGTTAAATTACTTCAAGTAAAGTTCATGAAAGTGATTATTCGAGGGTTTATGGGGTCGTTGATTACGAATCTGATGTTAGTTTTTCAAAATTCAAAATGGCGGATCCAATATGGCGGACGAAAAAATTTGAAAATTAAACGAGGCTCATGAAAATGATTACTCGGGGGTTTTCGGGGTAGCTGATTACTAATGTGATGTTATTTTTCAAAACTCAAAATGGCGGATCCAATATATCGGACGAAAATATTTGAAAATTGAGCTAGTTTCATGAAAATTACCATTGGGAGTTGTTAAGGTCGCTGATTACGAATCTGCTATACGTTTTTCAAAATTCAAAATGGCGGACGGAAAAATTTGAAAATTAAGCTAGGCTCATGGAAACTACCACTTGGTGTTCTTGAGGTCACTGAATACAAATTTAATGTTAGTTTTTTGAAATTCAAAATGGCGGATTTAATATGGCGGCCTATTAAAAAAAGATGTTAGATGTTTATGAAACATGAAGAAAATCGTATCACTTAAAAAAAGTCGGGCCTTAAAGGGTTAATGAAGGAAAATATTTGTTAAATATTTCACTTTTAATCAATTCTAGAAATAATAATTTATAAGACTTACGTAATTCTTCCATTTCTATAGAATCGGTTAAAAATTCTCCTTCTCCTTCTCCTTGTCCTTTTCCCTTTCCTTTTCCATCTCCTTCTCCTTCTCCTTCTCCTTCTCCTTCTCCTTCTCCTTCTCCTTCTCCTTCTCCTTCTCCTTCTCCTTCTCCTTCTCCTTCTCCTTCTCCTTCTCCTTCTCCTTCTCCTTCTCCTTCTCCTTCTCCTTCTCCTTCTCCTTCTCCTTCTCCTTCTCCTTCTCCTTCTCCTTCTCCTTCTCCTTCTCCTTCTCCTTCTCCTTCTCCTTCTCCTTGTCCTTGTCCTTGTCCTTGTCCTTGTCCTTGTCCTTTTCCTTTTCCTTTTCCTTTTCCTTTTCCTTTTCCTTTTCCTTTTCCTTTTCCTTTTCCTTTTCCTTTTCCTTTTCCTTTTCCTTTTCCTTTTCCTTTTCCTTTTCCTTTTCTTTTTCCTTTTCCTTTTCCTCTTCCTTTTCCACTTTCTTCTCCGTCTTTTTGACATGTGTTTTCAATGTTGAGTGATAATCGAGGAACTTTAGGGTTACCATTGTTTTCTAAAAAATGATTTAAAAACATATATTTATAGATATATTGATGTAACGAGACTCATTTATTTCTTTTTGGTCAACTTCAATAGCTACCTACAATTTTTGATATTTTATTACAATTAGATACCTTGATTTTATATATTGAGCACAAATACTTTTGATACAGTTGTTTTCATACTTTCAATTTTTAAAATTATAATATTAAATTGTATATCCCTGTTGTATCGTATATTATTTTAATTTTAGTTATTCTTTGAAAGGCTAATGATAATTTACATCATGCTCAATTGATTATTTTAAGTTAGGATTACTTCTGATAAAGGTTTAAGTAACACATGGGTAAGAATACATGGGTGGTATACTAAAAACATATAAATAGTTTTCTAAAATTTGAATATTTGCAAAAGTTACACAGCCACACAAAAAAAATAAAGTGTCTCGATCTGGGGTCGAGACATATGTATTCCGTAGTATTTCGATGCGCTGAATCCGAATCCGACACCAGAATTTGGCCAATGAGTCCTGGTTTCGCCCTAGCCTCAAATAATACCCTAAAATCGTTAAAATGGTCACTTTTGAATTATCAAAATTGAATCTAACCGCATATTGATAATTTTCTAAGATCCCTTAATTTAAGTAAACTATTCTATAAGCTTTTCAATTGAAAATTCATATAAAACATTAAATCTATCGAACCTTACCTCAAAAACACATCTATGATTCCAAACAAAGAAATTATACCGTACACAGCGCAATAAAAAATAGGTAAGCTCATGAAAGTTACAACTTAGGTGTTTCTATGACTGCTGATTACGAAGCCGGTGTTAGTTTATCAAAATTCAAAATGGCGGATCAAATATGGCGAACAATATAAATAAAATCTGTTTGGATTGGCTTGAAAATCGTTAATCGGGGGTTTTCGGGGTAGCTGATGACGAATCCCATGTCGGTTTGTAAAAATTCTAAATGGCGGATCCAATATGGCGGTCTTTATTATTTTAACGATTTTTTTAAATATATTACTCGCGGTTTTTCGGGACCTTTGATAACGAATCGTATATCAATTTTTATAATCTTAAAGTCGAATGAATTGTTTTCTAATAATTTTTTCTAACAATTCGTAAGACTTTAAGTTCAAAGGTCCCGAAAGACAGCGAGTAATTAATTTTAAAAAATCGTTAAAAGAATAAAAATCCGCCATATTGGATCCGCCATTTTGAATTTTTAGAAACCGACATGGGATTCGTCATCAGCGACCCCGAAAACCCTCGAGTAACGATTTTCAAGCTAATCCAAACAGATTTTATTTATATATAAGATGTTTTTGTTTTTTGGATTGTAATAATTTAGTTAGATATTGGTTTGCTTATTATTTTTTAATCCATATTAAAATCATTTTCAAGCACGAAGCTTTTCGTCCATCAACGATGGACCTCATCAGGTGAAATTCGAAAATTCAAAATCTGTAAAAAGTTCCTTAACTTTTACAAACAATTTACACTTAAAATTAACATTCACAAAATACATGTCAAAAAGATGTTCTAATTTAAATTACATTATATAATACTAATAATTTTATAAGATTTTTTAAATAAAATCACAAAAATACAAAAAAACATTAATTTAAATAAAACGTTAGAAAAACATAACCTCACTTACTAATAGGATCTCTTCTCTCACATGTTATTCATTTATAAAAAATTAAAAAAACAATGCAAAGACACATTGTTGTGTATCTTTACAATAGTTCAACCTTTTAGAAAAAGTATAAATAAAATAAAAATAACATCGTTGTAAAAACAGACACTTTGTGGGAAATAAAAAACAACATGTATAATTTAAAATGAAAATTGGTGATTTAATTATTGGAAAATTTGTAATCTGCTTTATCAATACGGATGTAGAAATCTACTTAATCATGCTTTCACGAAAATTTAAATCGCGTTAAAACACAAAGTATTATGTGTTCGTAATGAGTGAGTGATAGATCTTATTTAATGATGTTAAGTCGCTCTTTTTGTTGACTGTATCGTTTCTCAATATATGAAACATCTCTCTAAATTTTCTTCTATTACTATTCTGCTCATTACATATAATCTTAGTGTTTTGGAATATAAATTTATGATCATGAATGTGTGAGTGTTCAACGAGAGCCGTACTTCTCTTATCAAGTTTGCAGTCTCTTTTATATTTATATATTCTGTCTTTAATATACCGACTTGTTTCACCTATATATCAAGAACCACACTGGCATTGGACACAGTATACCACATGATTTCTATGCTCAAAATCAATGGTATCTTTATTTTTCAAAAAAACTCCAAAAGGATCTCTTTCATAAGAGAAAACAACTCTGATATCATAGTTTTTATATATATTTTTAAAAAAATCTTTTAGCTCATTAACAAATGGTAAGAAGATAATGTTATTATAATCAAAATTTTCCTTAATGATGTTATTATTATGGAAAATATTATCCCTTCTTAAATTGACATATTTTGACAAAAATGAGAGTGGGTAATTATTCTCAGTTAACACATCATAAATAAACTTGAAATTACTTTCGTGAAATCTACAGTTGGATAATTTCATGGCTCTGTCTACAAGGCCAAAAATAACGGATATTTTGTCTTTATTTGAAATATTAGAATGAAAATTAACAAATCTATCTGAAAATGTATCTTTATGATACCAGTTTGTAATAATACGATTATTCTCTATTAGGACAGTGGTGTCTAGGAAATTTATGCAACAATTTTTCTCCATTTCGATAGTAAATTGTATGTGCTCATTATATTGATTAAAGGAATTTAGAAGGTCGTTAATGTCATTCTCTCCAACAATGACGAAAATGTCATCAACATACCTACGATATAAAAGGTAAGGGAATTGAAGCTTTTTCAAAACATCTGACTCGAGCTTTTCCATCACTAGGTCCGCGATTACACCTGACAGTGGGGAACCCATAGGTGTTCCGAAAATCTGTTTGTAAAATTTCTTGTTAAATGTACAGTATGCGTTATCGATACAAAACTCTAAGATTTCTAAGAAAACTTTGTCAGTTAATTTTGTATGTTCTCGAATTTCACACCACCTCAATTTAACACACCTCACAACCAGGGATTTCGGAATATTAGTGAAAAGTGATTTTGCGTCTAACGAAACTAATCTGAAATTTGGTGGAATTTGAAAGTCCGCAATTTGTTCGACAAAATCAAAACTATTCTTCACATGTGCATCCGTTTTCCCAATTATTTTCTTAATAGGTAAGCTGACAAATTTTGACAAATTATATGTAGGTGAACCACAAAAAGAAGTGAGACCACTCATGAGACCGCTCATCGGACATCCGGTTTTATATATTTTCGGGAGTCCATAAAATTTTGGAGCTACCAAATTATAGGAATGTAAATGTTTTGAAGTTGGACAGTTGATGAAATTATTATGTAACATATAGGTTACTTTTTTATTTAAATCTCTTTGAATTGACTGAGTAGGGTCAGAATTTAATTTAATATAGATGTTATTGTCATTTAATAAAATCAAACACTTCTCAATATATTCAGTTCTATCCAGAACAACAGTTACGTTCCCTTTGTCTGCCTTACACACAACAATGTCTTTATTCATTTTAAGAAAGTCTTGAGTCTTTTTGCCATATTTGTTAATAGTGGAAGAATCAATTATATTAAAATTAGTATGTAAAAAATTTTGTAGTCCAGCAGACATCTTACTCCTGAAATCATTTTTATCATCATTTGGTATTAAGTTAATTTTCTCTTCCACCATAGTAAGAGTATTTTCTATGATTTTGCTTTTGTTAGTGGGGTTAATATAAAATTTTTCACCCAAACTTAAAAAATACATCACATCTTGTGGCAATGTTTTCTTTGAAAAGTTTTTAATCCAATTGTGGTTAACAACTTTATCAACATTTATACTGTAATATGTTTCTTTTAACCAATTAAATTTAATTATTGATTTTTTAATAATTTCTTTTTCGTACTTATCAAATATATTGTTTTGAATTTTGAAAAAATTGTTGCATACATCTTCATCATCAATAATATCACGAATTAAACTCATAGACTTTGTCAAACATGATTTTAATTTTAATATTGTTTGATTCAAATCTGTTATTTCAAAATTAAAAATGTTAATCTTATACTCAAAATTAATTTTATCAAATTTTCTTAAGATAGAAAAATTATGAAATTTAATAAACTTATCAATATTTATTAAATGTGAGGGAAGAAACCCACCTGACCTACAACGAAGTAAATACCGGTTTTGGTTCCTTAATCTAATTATGTAATCTTAAGTTAGTCTTAATCCAGCTTTTCATGATATCCACAACATTGTTGCCGTACGTTCTTCTTAGACACTCAAAGTAGCCAAGGTCATCGGAAAGAAAAACTCTCTCATCAGAGAGAGTATTATAATAATAACATCATTAAGGAAAATTTTGATTATAATAACATTATCTTCTTACCATTTGTTAATGAGCTAAAAGATTTTTTTAAAAATATATATAAAAACTATGATATCAGAGTTGTTTTCTCTTATAAAAAAAGATCCTTTTGGAGTTTTTTCGAAAAATAAAGATACCATTGATTTTGAGCATAGAAATCATGTGGTATACTGTGTCCCATGCCAGTGTGGTTCTTGTTATATAGGTGAAACAAGTCGGTATATTAAAGACAGAATATATGAACATAAAAGAGACTGCAAACATGATAAGAGAAGTACGGCTCTCGTCGAACACTCACACATTCATGATCATAAATTTATATTCCAAAACACTAAGATTATATGTAATGAGCAGAATAGTAATAGAAGAAAATTTAGAGAGATGTTTCATATATTGAGAAACGATACAGTCAACAAAAAGAGCGACTTAACATCATTAAATAAGATCTATCACTCACTCATTACAAACACATAATACTTTGTGTTTTAACGCGATTTAAATTTTCGTGAAAGCATGATTAAGTAGATTTCTACATCCGTATTGATAAAGCAGATTACAAATTTTCCAATAATTAAATCACCAATTTTCATTTTAAATTATACATGTTGTTTTTTATTTCCCACAAAGTGTCTGTTTTTACAACGATGTTATTTTTATTTTATTTATACTTTTTCTAAAAGGTTGAACTATTGTAAAGATACACAACAATGTGTCTTTGCATTGTTTTTTTAATTTTTTATAAATGAATAACATGTGAGAGAAGAGATCCTATTAGTAAGTGAGGTTATGTTTTTCTAACGTTTTATTTAAATTAATGGTTTTTTGTATTTTTGTGATTTTATTTAAAAAATCTTATAAAATTATTAGTATTATATAATGTAATTTAAATTAGAACATCTTTTTGACATGTATTTTGTGAATGTTAATTTTAAGTGTAAATTGTTTGTAAAAGTTAAGGAACTTTTTACAGATTTTGAATTTTCGAATTTCACCTGATGAGGTCCATCGTTGATGGACGAAAAGCTTCGTGCTTGAAAATGATTTTAATATGGATTAAAAAATAATAAAAAAACCAACATCTAACTAGATTTTATTTATATTGTTCGCCATATTTGATCCGCCATTTTGAATTTTGATGAACTAACACCGGCTTCGTAATTAGCAGTCATAGAAACACCTAAGTTGAAACTTTCATGAGCTTACCTATTTTTCATTGCGCTGTGTCCGGTATAATTTGTTTGTTTTGAATCTTAGATGTGTTTGTGAGGTTAGGTTCGATAGATTTAATGTTTTATATGAATTTCCAAATGAAAAGCTTATAGAATAGTTTATTTAAATTAAGGGATCTTAGAAAATTATCAATATGCGGTTAGATTCAATTTTGATAATTCAAAAGTGACCATTTTAACGATTTTAGGGTACTTTTTGAGGTTAGGGCGAAATCAGGACCTTATACTAATAAGGAGACCTCACGCCAGTGCTTAGCAGTGGCAAAAATCAACACATTTTGGGGGGGTTAGAGTTATGAGTATTTGCACCACTATAGCAGTGGTTGCGCCATTCACTTCGTCGTATTTCTTTAATTTGTAAGTTATGTTTATATACAGTAGCAGACGAAAAATTTTAGTACAATACTTTAACCACAGAGGCGCAACCTCTGCTACTGGTGCAATCTCCTAGATCTCTGTCCCCCCAAATGTGTGCAGATTTTTATGCCCCGTGATGTCTCCTTATACTACTTCGTGCCAGGACCCATTGGCCAAATTCTGATGGCGGATTCGGATTCAGCGCATTGAAATACATCGGAATACATATGTCTCGACCGCAGATCAAGACACTTTATTTTTTTTGTGTGGCTGTGTTATTAAAGGTCAAAGTTATTTGTAGCGTTTTAGTAAATAGTTAATTACTCGCGATCAGATGAATCAATTTTAATAAAAATTAGTGGAGAGTTTACCTGAGGTATTGTACTTTCGATTAATGATCAAAATTTTAATTAAAAAATACAATTTTTTTAAAGAAATTAATTTTTTAATTTTTGGTGTTAAAAAAATATGTTCTCCATCTTTTTTAACAAATTTTTTAATAGTCAAATAGAGAATACTTTAAAGATTTTATTTGAATAATAAGAAAGTGTGATTCTCTATTTCTTCAGAAAATAGAATTTTTTTTTAGTTACAAAAAATTTTTGAAAGCTAAATGAGATTTAAAAGAAAACAAGTAAATAAACTAAACTCGACTACTTTAACCAAAAAAATTACAAATTAACAATTATATATATATATATATACGTAAAAGCATGAATTCGACACGAATTCATTTGTTTTGTTTTAAATCTCTTACTTTTCAAACAAATTTTGTAACTAACAATATTATATTTTCTAGAATAATAGAGAATCCTACTTATTTATTGTTCAAGTGAAATATTAAAAGTCAAGGCCATATTTTGTATAAAAATTGATAAATACAAATTTTTTATACCTCAAAACGTGAATAATAAAGCCTTAAATGTTATTTTAATCCATAGAATAGTTTCCCAGCAAAAAATTCCCAAAAAACTCATTTTTCAGTGCGTCTGGGTAGTATAACCCTTTAAACAAATTATATTTTTTAATTAAAATTTTTATCATTTATCTAAAGTACAAATTCTCAGGTACACTCTGCACCAATTTTTATTACAATCGGACCATCCGATCGCGAATAATTAGTTATTTACTAAAACGCTACAAATAATTTTTACCTTTAAAAAAACCCAAAAATAAAAAAAAAATAGGGGCCCACTTCTGGAATTCTTATTCACATGAAAAGAAATCGGTTATTATAAATATAAAAAATTAAGTAATTGCAACCCTATGACAAGTGTTTTTTCACTTTATTTTTTTCATATTGTACAAAAGTGTGAATTAATTTTAAAATTGTAATATTTATTATATTTGTTTCTATATTTAATAAAAAACAATTTTTTTTCGCCATAGACATAAAAAATGGGTCTTTTTGAGACCTGTTTTGGACAAATAAAGTAGTATTTTTTCAAGCAGTTCTGGACAACTGCCGTAAAAAGACTTTTTATGCTGACATAAGAAGTTTTTTTACGACAGTTGTGAAAAACTGCTTTATGGCAGTTTACGGAGATGGAGATTAATATTGAGATTGATATTGAGAGATTATAAGATAGAGAGATTGAGATTAAAAGATTGAATGATTGGAAGATTTAATAATTGAAAGATTGAGATTGAATGATTGAAAGATTAAGATTGAGAAGTTCACTTTTTTATATCATTGGTGAAAAAATAGCGTATGCGGCTTGCACGTAGCAATATTTAGGTTCGGATTCTTTCAATACTCGCTGCTGTGTGATTTCAACTCGACTTCGGCTTGACTCCGACTCGCCTGCGTCCTCACTCCAGCTCGCCTGCGGTTCGTTTCCGTTTCGCCTTCGTCTCACCTGCGTCTCACTAACAGCTCGTATTGAAAACGACATCTTCACCTAAAAAGTATTGCTTTACGTGCTTGCCACATAATATACTATTTATTTGAAATGGTAGTAGGGAATGATTATATCATAAATTTTTAGCACCTTAAAAAAGATTTTTAAGCAAAGTTATAAATTTTTAAGTATAAGCCTATTTGGCCTATTTGTCATCATATATGATGACAAATAAAAGCCTATAGTCGTTAAGTTTTTTCCGTTCAATTTATATGCTACATCAGTAGCGTTATAAAATTTGAATATTTTGATTACAATAGATAAATTTATAATATTACGATACTATTAATTTCACATACATTGAAGTGTTTAGTATCACTTAAAAATTATTTCAATAGGGGAGAATGGGGAGTTGTGAAGCACGGCCATAGATCTCGCATAGTAATTGTTTTGATAGATGTCACTTACTCTCAATATTTGTTCACCTAATATCTTCGTTTTGTAATTGGATTCATTCCGATAGCAGATATTTTGCATATCTTTCAAGACAGTGTGTTCAACCTTTCGTTTATAAAGTTTTTTTGAGTGTTCCTTTTTGTAGAATTCTTACAAAATTCGCGAACAAATCAAAAAGATAAGTTCACCCATATAATAACCAGCAATGATTAGGTTCTCGAAATTCAAAAGGATTTATGCAAAATCTCAATAAAGAATATTTACCAAAAAATATAATTCTTAGCGATTTTTAGTAGTGCTTCACAACTCCCCATGATTTTTAAAAACTTGAAAAAGCAGCTTTTTGGCCCAACTGAAAAAAAATTGTCGATTTTATTTTATTTGATGCAAATTCTTCAACCAGTAAGTATATTTGAAGACCCTCTAGAGATTCAAGTGGATAAAATTTGAAAAAAAAATTTTTTTTGATGTTACAACTCATAAACAAAGCGTGCTTCATAACTCCCCATTCTCCCCTACAATATTAATTTTAATTAATGATATTTTTAAAAAATTGTACAATACATTGAAAAAATTTTAAGCCCCTTACTACTCTCAATGCGAGACAGTAGAGCGCTTAGTCATAAGAGTTAGCAGTTAACCACAAAAAGCGAGCATCTTTCTTTTTAGGGAGTAGCAGTTACCCCTAAAAGAGTAACTGCATTTTTTTCCACAGAAGCGTATACTGTTGTCACGCATAAAAGAATTATTATTTTTGAAATTACCAAATAATTACCTTTTTGTTTTCGTGGCCTTTTTGTATTTTTAATGCTCCAGTCTAAAAATAAATTTATGGAATTTAGATAAATATCAACTGTCAATTATTTTTTTACAGTAACCATACACTGTAAAAAATTTAGGAAGTTAACGGACTCGGGAGTGAAATTTTTCGAGTTAAAAATCAACTCCAAAAAAAAGTTAATTTCTAACTTCCTTCATTCAACACCCGCGCGAGTTATTTTTTCCTTGGGGAGTTAACATTTGGGTGTGAAGTTTTTACTCCCTTTATTTAACTCCCCTGGCATTAACTCCCCAATCGGTGTGACTTTTATAGAATCCCCTGGGGAGTTAAAATTTAACTCCCTTTTTTACAGTGCAGTAATTTTCTAAGCTTGGTGAAAATTAACTTTAAACTTGCACTGCAAGTAAAGGAAAAATTGATCAAATACCTTTTTCCATAGGCCATTTATCCAGGTAGGTTTTAAAAGTTTCAGCATCCAAATTAATTCCTTTTTCAGCCCACTTGGATTCTAAAATAGAAAAGTTAATATTATATCAATTTAAATAAATTTTAGGTTTCTTCATGAAGTTGCGGACAGAGATTTAGATATTTAGCTATGTTTTTAAGTCGTCAATTATTTGTTTGCATACGTTTAAAGTTAAGGAATATTTAAATGCGCTTGAAAAATATTCTGCTTGTGGTAATTAATAAAATGTTTCGTATTATACATTATAAATTATACTAGTGATGTATCCGCTCGAAAAATTGTATATTGTTGCAGGATGAGAATAATGTGGACAATGTCAATATCACTATTCTAATTAATAGTGTTAGGTATAATCACAATAAATTTTGAATGTGTGGAGTTAAAAATGTATTCTACTAGTATGATTCAAGAACGGTTTCAACATGGGGATTTTGCATTGAATTGTTTTGGTACACGGAAAAAAAAAGTTCGAAGATTATTCGGGAACTTCGTTCTTAACTCTTGGATACGGCGGGTAGTTCACAGAGAACTAAAGGTTGCCTCGTTTAAATATGTCATTTACTATTTCTCTACAAATTATAAATATTTCACCACTTCTCGGCAAACTGTTCTTGAAAAAGTCGGGAACTGTTCAAGAAAATCGAAAAGTTAGGCGAATGCAAGAAAAAATGGATTCTGCTTCCCCCCTCCCACTTCCCATCCTTGACACGTCCGCACACACACACACACATTTATCCTTGAAGGTCACATACAATTTTTATTTTTTATTAAGTTTCTGAAATAGAAAAAACCATATTAGAGAAAAATCGACGGCGGCTGGAACAGAACTCGCGTACCCGAAGAATAGAAGTCCGGCGTCTTATCCAGCTGAGCTAAACAGGCGAGTTAAATACCTCAGCATAAAATAAATATATAAGACACGCAAGTCTTACTGACTGTGAGACTTGTTGAGACTGGTGCGCACTGGGTTTCTGCGCACCAAGATTCCTTGACGAGTTCCCGAAAATTTCAGAAACAGTTGCGGCCAGTGCCATGAATTTTACATGAGAAAGTAATGAAAAAAAGACTATTGGACTATTTACAGCTTTTTCTAATACAGTTCCCGAATTTCTTTCAAACATTCATAGATTACCATTGAATGTTCGTCGCTAGTTCAGAGCTGTTACCACGTATCCAAGAGTTAGGAAATAATTCCTGAAATATCTGGGAACTTTTTTTTTCCGTGTAAATAATGAATGGTAAGAGAAATAGAATTTGACTATCGGAGCAGTATTACAGATTGATATATCAAGACACGTGTAAATATGTAAACATGTATGTAATCATTAATATCTATTTGTAAGCTGGTAAGGGAGGCTGGGACAAGGATAGATAAGTAAGACATTTCCGGATCTAGCGGCCTAACATGAATTTTTGCTTTAGACTGCAATACCTATTAATTTCAATTATTGCATTAAAATTCATCTGAACTAGAATCTGAGATTAAAACAATTTTTTCAAACGGCCATTAATTTCTTCGCCAATAAGATTGGTTTTTCATATATTATTACATACTACATATTATGTATATCAAACTAAAAAGAAAAATTAAACATTTTCCGAGTTGAAATTTAGACCCTACTTAGCCTCTGAAAATGTAGGGCTTATTCGGGTTTAGCAGTCGTAAAGTAGGGTCTGATTTCAATACAATTTTTAAAAACTAGACCCTCCTTTGACTCCCAAAACAGGCTGAAATTTGCCAATCTTCCATTTGGAGAAGCAAAGGAGGGTCTACTTCTAAGAAACCTATACCGTATTTTTAAACCTCGTAGACCCTACTTTCATACTCTTAGACCCTACAATTAAAAAAAGAAAAATTTGAAGATTTGCTCAGATTCAAATGAAGCACTTGGGATGAGTAAAAGTGGAATTTTATGTGTTTTATAGCGTCCATATACACGAAGTGTATATAGACGCTATAAAACACATCAGTATTTATGAATTTGGAGTACTTTTTGCATTTGCAGTGTTTCAAGTAATGCATTAAAAAATAATTCAAAATTTTCTTTTAGAATGTAGGGTCTAGGAGTATGAAAGTAGGGTCTACGAGGTTTAAAAGTACGGTATAGGTTTCTTAGAAGTAGACCCTCCTTTGCTTCTCCAAATGGAAGATTGGCAAATTTCCGCCTGTTTTGGGAGTCAAAGTAGGGTCTAATTGTATTAGAATTAGACCCTACTTTACTACTCCTAACACTCAATAGACCCTGAAAATTCAGGGTGAAAGTAGGGCTTAAATTTCGACTCGGGTTGTCTATAATTTGCAATTGCATTAGCAAGATTGTACCGTGCCGTATTAGCTCAAACTATACTCATCCCGTGTGCCCATATTTTAGTTATTCATAAATTTTATTTAATAACGTGAATAAAAACACAAGTTTTATTAAAATATACTAGTAACTTCTAAAATGGTGGCAGATTAACTTTCAATTTTTACTGTCATCTATTGCTGTTAAGACGCGAACATATTAAGAATGACGCGCTTTTTGAACAAGGTGTTTAAGCATTACAGCAATTACCCTTGCCTCGTTTCCTCCTATATTGTTCTACTAAATGAATGTACAAATATTATTGCAGTTAAAATTTTTTTCACTAATTCTGTTACATTTTGAAGGAAATTTACTTTTAGAAATTGAAAAATCTTATTAATGTTATGCTTTTATAAAAGAAAAATAATTGCATTTATTTTCTATAATAACATTTACAAAGAAAATGTTTAATTTAAAAGTTGTTTTTACAGTTTTAGAATTTAGAGAAGGAAATTGTGGTAGATTTATTGCTTATGGTTACCCAGGTGCGATTTTTTGGTCGGCCCATAGTTGGGCCAACTTTTACAAAGTCGGTCCAACTTCTCGTGCCAGAGGTTGGGCCAACCATACAAATGATAACGGTTCGCCGTCTAATGGCGACGATGGTTGGCCCGACAACTCATAAGGAAGTTGGCCCAACTTAAAATGTATATGTTGTGTCAACTATACATTTCAATGGTTGGTCCAAAGACTGACGCCAAAGTTGGCATAACTTTAGATGCGTAAGTTGGTCCAACCACAATTTTCAAAGTTTGGCCAACTTCAACAGACAAAGGTTAAAAATTATTAAAAAACTAAATTATTTAAACAATTAACACCTTATTATTAGCGCGAACATCAGATATAACCTTTACTTATTATTATTAAACACAATCTCATACATACATTTTCGAAAATATCTAACGCTCGCTGGGATCGAACCCCTAACCTAACGCACCGAAGACTTATACACTGATCACTACGCTACGCTTTCATGGGAGTACATAACGTTAAATGTATATTGAAG